GCCTATTTTTTCTTCTCAAAGCATCTCGTTTTCTCGTTCAATCGAGCTTGATTTTTAATCTGCTGGCAAGAATGATTCCGTGAGTTACGCCAGACGATAAACAAAAGACCGTCAATGTAGCAACATCACAAAGTCTCAATGTGTTACAAATCAAAGCAAGGCCTGGTCACATTTAAGTACTCAGGTTACTAATTTATCATAGCATCCGAGTTGCACCTTGTTGCGTCCAAAACTTATCTCAATATGACCGGTTTTTAAGTACTCACCAGTTAAAACGTTGGTACTCACCATACGAATTAAAGCGCAAGAAAGGTACTTAATTTCGATGAAAGCACAAGGCCTGAGGGGACAACAAGAAAACTCAGGCAAGATAACATTTATTCCAGTCTTTCAATAAGGCTCTCTAAAAGTCCTATCGTGACCTAGTAAAACCATGTGCTTTTCAGCTGGAAGGCCCTCGAACCTCTTTAAAGTTCGGTTTACCCTGTATTTTTTTAATATTTTTGGCTACTGACGTCACACACTGGGATTGGGAACATTTTCTTCATTTACACTATAACTGTTTGTAATCAAGTGTGGATACCGGTCGCAAGTTTCAATTTCTCAATTAAAAAAAATTTGAAAAGGACTTTTGTAATATACTATCACGGAAAAACATCCAATGCAGAGTTTGAAGCTGGACTTACACGAAATTATGCTTGTTTTGTTCTTTTCCCTCCCAAATTGTGAGAGGGTCTTGTAATGGTAGGACTGGGATGCGAGATCTCGTGACCAAGTAGAACCATGTCCTTTTGAACTGGTAAGCCATGAAACCTGTTCAAAGTTCTGTTTACTCTGTCTTTTCTGATATTTCGGGCCGCTAACGCTACATGGTAGCGTTTAAAATCTCAGCAAGACATATTGCAGCTTTTAACCTGTGTTTTAGTCGAATTTAAGCTGATTCTGACCCGAGACACGGCGACAGAACCTTGACAAATATGACGTCGCAAGCAGTTGGCAGGGCAGTGCATCCGTTCCAAGCCTCAAACGCCGCAGAAAATCTTCACTTCTAATAGTTCAGTTCTTCCGAGGCTAGATCTTCATGGTGATCTAGAAACCAATTGGAAAAATTGGCTTCAAACATAGAATTTACCTTCGATTTACGCTGGCAGCTAGACGACTAGTAAGTAGCGTCTTCCATCACATGTATCCGCTTAGAAGCCCTTGATATCCATCCTGGCTTACCATTTACCTCCGAGGAAGAGAAAGGTAGGATCGATAAAGCCTTAGAGATGTGTATTAATTACTGCGTAGACAAAACGAACAAAGTTTACGGGTGGTAAACAAATTTTAGTAATAAAAGAGCAAGACCATAGTTGGGCAAAATTCATCAAGCTGAAAAAGGAGAAGTTTGAATTCAAATGAAGCAAAGTGCCATTCATTGGACCTGCGATGACGAAGAATAGATTGAAGGCAGGTAACAGGAAATTGAATGCAACAGTCAAGATGGAGCGACCAGCAGAGTATCAGCAGCGCAGAGATTAT